AGATTACCCTTGTATTTGGCTCCATTTATCCAGACATACAAATATCAACCAAAAATCTTCTAAAACTCGGGGGTCGTCTTATACACGGGTCGCGATTTTCCCCCGTACGAAACATTTTTTGTTTGTAGCGTTTCATTTTTTTTGTTTGCAGCATTTCCTTTCTTGTTTGCAGCGTTTTCTTTTGTTTGCTGGTGTTTTTATTTTTTGCTTGCAGCGTTTCTTTATTTGTTTGCTAGTGTTTTTATTTTTTTGTTTGCAGCATTTTTGTTTTGTTTTCAGCGTTTCATTTTTTTGTTTGCTGGTGTTTTCTATTTTTGTTTGCATCGTTTCCATTTTTGTTTGCATCGTTTCTATTTTTCTTTGCATCGTTTCTATTTTTCTTTGCATCATTTTTTTTTTTTTTTTTTTCAGCGTTTCTTTTCTGTTTCCCTGATTTCTTTTTTGTTTGCTGCGTTTTTTTTTGCAGCATTTCTTTTTCTTTGCAGTGTGTCCCTTGTGGGCCATCGTATGTACCTGCGGTTGGTGACTTCAGCGACTGTGCCATAAATATCAAACAGTTTGCTTATATGGTTCCATACAGCGACGTGGTTACCAACTCTTATTTCGCTCAGCTGCTTAGTGTTAATATCATAGTGTTCTTTCTCATATCCCTTCTTTTTTTCTTTTATCCCCGTTTTTTTTATTTTGAAAAATTTAGGACTGGGCCTTCTTGAATCCGCTACTGTTAGTTGCTGATCTATTCGAAATAGAGGAGGCAAGGGACGGACTCTCACAGATTGAGGGTCTATAACACCTCAGCGTCACCATTGATGGGGCTTAGGTACGGTAAGAAATTTATGATTATGGCACCTCTAGATGGCCGGAGATGGCACTCTCAGACCTTAATTTGAATATAAATTTCTTTTGTTTTTTTAATAATTTTGAAAAATTTAAAGGGTAGGGGTGGAAGGGAACCACCACTGGGAATAGTGCAGCACAGTCTAGAAGCACAAATACATTAGGGAATATGTCATCATTACATTCCTTCATTTCCGCTGCTGCAGTGGATGGACGTTGGTTAGAGAACCCACAGCTTCATTGACAATCGCACAATATTAACATATATATTTGTCTAGACAACCTATACGGTAACCTTCCTGAATTGGTTTTGACGTTTCTTTGTGTACTATTGCTTGCTCTAACCAGTCTAACATATTCCATGGCGAACGGTGCGAAGGTCTAAATCCGCGCCTGCTGTATGAAGATGATTTTATGAAACTTTAATGGAAGATGAGTTTCTACGCAGGCACCACCCCCCTTCCACTCAATATTTTTTTTTAAATTATAAAAAAAGAAAATTATAGGCCTATTCAAATTTAAGTCTGAGTGCCATTTCTATATAGAGGTGCCCTAATTATAATTTTTATCTCAGCCTCAACCATGGTGGGCTGAGGTGGGTAGACCCTCCATCTGTGAAACTTCCTGGCGGATCCAGGAATTTCGAATTCCTAGATCCGACACTGGTGAATCATTAACACGCAAGCGGCGGGGAAAACACTCAAATTGCTCAAAAAGCGTATATAAATACAGTTAAAAGTCGTTGCTAGTATACGACGATTAGAGGCGGCCCTATAGTTTTAAACTGCTCTGATTAGTTAAGAAGGTTAGGTGGATGGATTTATAAAATGTGCGACAGTGAGTTTTGTATTTTATACCACTTGAAAAAATGTGGATAAAGGCGTGATTAAGGCGTTTGCATAGACAGCAGAATGTCCCGGATTCCAATCTCAGTGGGCAATTATTTTTATACTCGCAGATTCCTCTTCTTTACCGTCTACTATAAAGTATTACCCCAAGACGATTTAGAGTATATCTCCTCACGTGTGATATTTCTTATAGGCCTACTGCATACCACCAGACTGCTACTGACGATCAACAGAGCAGACTGATGTCAGTCCGACTCGGTGTGAGCAGCATTCAATCCCTGTAAAACTGAATGCGTTTCAAGAGCCTAATACTAATAATAGTTCAGGGAATTCCAACCTACTTTTTATAACGTTAGGCCTATTGTTTGATCGCATTTCGCCGCAGACAATCGGTGAAAATGACAGATTAATATTCAGCGCAATATTTCCGCATTGTTAAAAAGAATCAATCAGAGGCTTGGTTTATACTAAACCAATTTAAACGTGTTAAAGGCAAATAAAAATAATAAATAAAACGCCAGAATGATACTTATACTACTAGCCGCAGCGTTGTTTGCATTACGTCATTGATGGTTTACATTTCTGGGATTATACCAGATCCCTTTTTATAGTATAACGAACGACGTCCTTTCTCGGATTCCTTGCATTATAACATAAATATCTACATTGCGCATGACTTACTTTAAAAAAAATCGTCTAAATGTAAAAAGTAGGCCTAAATTTACTCTCACAGAGTGCTTATCGAATTAAGAGTGAATTTTATTCCCAAAAATACTGAAATTCACTTTATTTCATTCAATGTATTGATCACTGTAGGCACTCTCTTTCTTTATTACTCTTTCGTATTTAGATAGTAGTGACTATGACAAACAACATGTAGGCTAACATTAACAACATTAAATAAACTATGTTAAATTAATGTTTTAACGACATACCACTATAAAGGATGATGATATAGGAAGTGATAGGCTTATAATGGTGGCTTACTGATCATCAGCAAGCCACCATTATAAGCCTATTTGACATTGTTTAAATATAAACACAAAGCAAAACAAAAACCAAAACACAAAAGACGGTATTTCTCACCTATTTGATTCGAGATGTATGCAGCTGATGAGTGCACGAGCAAAATCAACATAACACCACCTGCAGTAAAAATGAAAGTCCTACCTGATCCACTCATTTTGTGATATAAGGAAACGTTTGATCTTGATGATGTTAGCAGTCTGCGTGCATCACTAGAAAACGTGGAATTATATAAGTAACCTGAGCCTATACTGAAAGCGGATGTATCGAGCCAAAAAACAAGAAAGGGAATTTCCAAATGATTGTTGCGTTACTGTTACTGTAATACCCCATTCAGACTAGCATCGCATTGCGATCGGTTGTAGCAACTGCGACACCCAATCGCAAAGTAAAATCGTGTGTGAAAGCTCACCAATTGTAGTCGATATGTAATCGATATCGCAATTGTTACCCATTGCGATTGGGTGCTACAATCTTTATTACTCCCGATTACCACGGAATCCGATCGCAACGAATCACAACGAATTCCACAGGCGCTGTTTGGCTG